TCCTGATGCTGTTCTGTCATAGTGAAACTCAGCTCATGAGCCAGATCTCCTGTTTTCTTTATTAACCAGCGTCTGTGGCTCAGAAATCACAGACTAAACATACCTTGCAGTTCACAGGAATGAAAGGAAGGCTGACGGCAGGTGAAAATGAGAGCATGCTGTTAACTGCCTGTGGTCACCTCCACTAGAAGTCCGAATTCATTTTAGACTAAGATTCACAACTGGAATGAAACAAAATCACCCGATTTATTGTCCTGGAAGAAGCAGAGACAACAACCAGCCACACAACAACTTAAAGTTTATGTTTATTCACGTTACTTTTCTTCTAATCTCCAGTATAACAGCTTTTTTTTTCAGTTTTTTACAATTGTTATTTTTTCATAGCAGTTTATTCATCATTCATTATATGCTAACAATTGTTCCTGGATATAACTTGACACTACTTTTTAAAAAAAAACATCTGTATGTTTTAAACCTTTCTTATATAATATAGAATCAATTTATATCCTTCTTTATTTTGACTTTAGCCATTTAAACTGTATTTGTATTAAATCAATCAATAAACCAGCATTTATTTATATAACACTCGCTGTTAACACAACTAAAAGTCGACCAAAGTCCTTCACACAAAATAATAAAAACTAAAAGAATAAAATATAATAATAAAAACTAAAAGAAAAAAAAATGTAATGCATTAAATAGAAACTTAAAGTGCATAAAAGCAACTGAAAGGTATCAGGTCCCTACTGGAAGGAAAGGCCACTGTAAAAAAACAAGTCTTTTGTTTAGATTTAAGTGCCAAGTTGGTAATATATCAAATGGTAAACTGTAACGGTGGCACAGTTTACAAATGTTCTATCTAGATAATGAGATTCCCATTATTCCCAATTACACTTCATGTAGGAAATTTAAATCTTACTCCTAAACATTCCCAAAGTCGAGTCTCGAGCCCAGTAGAAAGAGCCTGGAAGGGAAACAAACGAGCTCCGTGTCTCCCTGCAGTATGCGGGTGTGAGTACACGCAGTGCATTGGTATGAAACCCCTCAAATTTAAAAATAGGGTATATAATATCTAGCCAGTGGGTTAGCACTCCGATCATGTGGTATTAATAGTTGACAGGGTCAGCGGTGACTTCACACCGCAGCATCAATCAGGATTACCAGTCTGACCTCATAAACTTCTCAACACCCGTCTGCCTTTAAAACCCACAGTATGTTCCTGATTCTCAGTTATTCTAAAAATAAAAGTACAACTGGACACTAAGTGTGGTACAATGGTTTTATAGATTAGTTTATTACCAAGTTCCGTGAATGCAGAGCTGATTACTCTGCCTTTAATAAATCCCTGAGATATCTGGGACTGGGTTTTTATTGGCAGCTTCATGGTCACAGGTCATTGTAAGCTGTGCATGCTTTTATTTGCTGTTCTTCACTGGTTTGATTTTTGGTTTCATTCTCTCATAAATGGCATGGGTCAACACTAATCAGTGTTGTCACTACCACCTGCTCTGCTCATATTGTCTTAGAAATACCTTGGGTGTAATAACCTTTTCCCCACTGAAGAAGGTGTGCTAACTGTGTTGTGGTATTAAAATGAGACTGACTATGTTGCTGGCTGTTTCTTGACTTTGAAATGAAACTCACCACAGGTGCCATGACCTGAGGAACTGATCATATTGAGGTTTATCACAGTAAAATTTAACACCAAAATGCCTTAATTTCAGTAGACTCACAACCATCATTGGCTGTAAATCTGTCCAGATTCTTAGTTTGGTTCAACTTTAGTGCCTCTACTCTGTGCTAGACACTGAATAAGTAGTCAGTATACGTCTCCAGGGTTCCAGCATATTTACCTGTCGAATCTTGACTCGAGCTGACTCACGTCTGGGCCCCAGTGATGAAACAAAACTCAGTCAGCAAGATGTCAACCTTCTTAAACTGTTGTGTCCATGTTTGATGTATTTGTTGTATATTGTGATAAATTGTACATAATTAAAGTGAGGGAACTTAGTCGAGTCAGTTTTCATCATGTGATGTCATTTCCCGACTGAGGCGCTAAGGTGTACAAATAAGTGTTTCCGTCTATCAGTCTTTGTCTGACACTTATTCTGAGAAAGCGCTGTCACCACATGGTTTTACTATATTACAAAATATATTGCAGCAACATACAGTATGTACATTGCAACACACACAAACCCACTAGGTGGGTAGCATGGTGGTGGAGTGGTTTGTATAACCTACATCCTCCCTGTCCAAAATTAATCTTATCTCTAAACCCACAACTGTTCCATTAGCAAATCTATTTGAATGGTTTTTAAAGGCCTGATGTATTTCTCAGCAGGCGAACAACAGTTTGTTGGTTATTATTAACCATTTTATGGCTCTCCCAGCTGATATGCACCATGGCACTGGTTATATGACCAGTACACAAACACACCATGCACAGAATATGATGCCTTGTGTTTAAATCACACTGTAAAGGTTTCCCTGGAAGCAACGCAGGACCAAGGGTGAATGCAAACACATTTGCCACACAACCTGTGAGCAGATATGGAGGTTTTTGAGTCAATTGCCACAGTCGTACAGTCATATTTCCTGTTGTCTAAATCATTTCGAGTAAAACTAAACACTCATGATACCAGAATATGAGCTGGTTTTCACATTTCACAATTTCTATGCTCTTTAAGCAATTTTTGTTTCCGCGAAGAATTGGTGAAAGTGAAAGGTTTAGTTACAGAAAGAAGAAACTGGAAGTTTCTAGATATCAGCAGTCAAAGGTTTTGGCCTGAAAATGACAGGAAAGTGTAGAGGAAAGAAGACAAAGAAAGACTTGAAAGACAGGAAGGAAATGAGCTCCTTGGCATGCTTGAAATGACTCCAGCAAACAAAAAACTTCTACTAAAAAGGATTATTACTTAAAACAGCATTTACCACTAGTTCAAGTCAGGTCAGAGACATGCTGTAGATTATATATATATTGTGTTTATATTAGCAGATTCCTCCAGCTTTTCAGTTTTCAGTGGGAAAACAGCTCAGTGTAATGAGAGCAAAGACTGAACAGTGGGTTTTAATATGTGAGGGAGGACTGTAAAACTCTGGACAGTTTTCACAGAAACAGTTGTGAGGCAAACAGAAGAACTACAGCATTCATGGAATAAAATAAAATACTCAGTATGTTCTTGCTTATTGTGATATACTGTTACAAAAGTTGATCCTGATTCAACATTTTTGCCTGACAACCCTATGGTTTACTTGCCAGAGTTTTCACCACCAGCGTATTGTTAGCCTGGTCTCAATCTAATGACCTAGGGAGTATCATTTTTTCAAACTGAAGTCAGTCTGAACGCAGCCTTAATGACTCCACACCAACACCAGCTCCTGACGCTGCCCAAGCTCTTGGAGAAACAAAAACAAAACAAGAACAACAACAAAAAAAGTACAAATTCTTGAACAAGGAGGGAGAACAACTTATGAAAACTAGCACTTCCCTGCAGCCACACAAGACTTTACAACTAGTAACAATGATTTATGTCACACTAATCACACCTTTTATGCGACTACTAGTGAAACAACAACAGTACTACAAGCAGCTGTAATTCCACCACGAACAAAATCACTGCTAACACAAGTACACTGCCACTGCTGTATTGTGAATTACCTACTTGTACTATTATAGCTACTGACCCAGCTGCTAACTGCTTAGACATTTCATTTACAGCCACTACCAGCACCATCTCATGTAATAATGATAGTAATCATGTATTTATTTAAACAAAAACACTCAACCAGACAGAGGAAATTCTCTGTCTGATGGGGCAGGCTGGTAAACATGATCATCCGCTTAAGACTAATTAAGAAACAAATCACCACATGAATACAGTAAAACCACTTCACTACAGAATCATGGTTAAAAGTATGGAAAACAGTGTGAAGTGAATTTAATTTAGCAAAACAAAAACACACCTACCTACCAGCTGATCTTCGGGATCACTGAAAAATCTGTTAAAATCAAAATCATCATAATATCAGGTGAAGAAGAGAAAACACCCACCATCATACGTCGGTCTGTCTCTGTCTGTCTCTGTCTGTCTGTCCCAACTCATAGCCTTATATCCCAGCTGGTGCGATGTAACCACATAATAAATAACAGCCTGGTGTCATTCAGTTTGAAGAGTGTTACTCACTCATTAGTGTGAAATGTCTAGAATGGAAAAACAGGGAGACAGGACAGACAGCTAAGGGAAGAGGGAGAGGATTTATTAGGCATTTATTTTGGTAAATTAATTACTTTCTCTGAGCTTTATGATTGTTTTTCATGTGAGAGAGGGAATGGGGAGAAGAATGGAAGAAAAAAGGTATAGATATAGAAGGAAAGACAGAAAAAAGAGTGGATAAAAGGAGTGAAGAAAGGGACTGAAAAGTGAGAAAGGAGAGAGGTAGGACTGGGAAGAAAGAAAAAGGAACAGGAAGGAAAGAGTAGAGGAAAAGGGGAAAGGAAAGAAGACATGTAGGCTAGCTTAATGGAGGGATGAAGAGACAGGAGAGAAAAAGAAAAGTGATGGGGTTGAGTGATAGAAAAGAGGAAAATATGTGTAAAGGGGAAGAAAGGAAAACAGGGAGAGAAAGAGGAAATGGAGATGAGAGAGAAGGAAAAGGAGGAAAAGAGTGAAGAAGACAGGGATGAAAAAGGAGGAAGAGGAGAAAAAGATGAGGAGTAGATAGATAAAGGAAAAAAGAGAGAAAAAGTAGGAGATGAGGGAGGATTAAGAGGAAAGAGAGAGGAAAAAGGTGAGGATGGAGGAAGGGAGAAAAGGAGACAAGGGAGGGGGGACTGCATGTTTTGGTAGAACAGTTCGGGGTTGCTAGATTGCATCATCACAGATCAGCCTTCTATAAATAGGATGACGTCACCGCTTCACTCTCACGCCCTCCCTCTTTAGTAGTGTTTCTTCCTTGCGTCACTACGCCCCGCCCCCCTGCTCCGTCGCTATATAAGCAGGTGATGCAACTGAGCGGTTACAAGCGCAACTTGACAGAGGAGCAGACGTAAAGGAGGGAGGCGACGTGAGCAAGAGGAGGGTGTTTGTTTTCTCCACATCTACTGCGTCCGACCCAGTCACTCAAGCATTTAACAGGTAGGTTGGAGTTTAGTTTCCGGGTGATGAGTTTTGTTGGGTAGGGGGGTGGTTTCTCAGCGAGACAGGCGGTTTGTCCTGGTTAGACAAGCGGAGGAGTCCCGGTGGACCCCTGCGCTCGGATGTCCCAGAACATCTTAAACTTTAAAACTCGCTTCTCCTTGTCAAATCCAATTTATATAGAGAATAATTAAACTCGGTCCAGATTGTAGACGGTGTTTACTGATGTTACCATCGCTTTTGTTTTTAAGTTTACAAAGAAATTCTTCTTCTTTGCTCACCTGACGTGTCTTCATGTCCTGCTCGGTTATTTATTTCGCATTGTAATAACTTATAAACAACCAAGATCCAAATACAGTTTCTTGCTGATGTTTTATGTTAAGTGAAGCTTATTTAGCTGTTTTTGTAACTTTGAAGGTGATGGCAAAGATTATGACGTTTTCATATATTGTTGGACACATTTTTTAATGATAGACTACGGACACAAACAAAATATGAAGACACAATTAGATTTATTGGGAAAAAAGTAACCCCACTATCATCTAGTATAAGGATAATAAAGGAAGAACAACTGTTTTATATATTCATTTACCAAGTTCACCTGTATTACATGACTGTGTTTTTTGGTCTTGGTTTCATAAGCACAACCATCTTATCTGGCTGTCGGTCATAATTCTCTATGACTCAGTTCTCTGTTTAGATAACAAACACCCACACCTATTTGTGATTATATTTAATTGTTTATGGCATCTTTCCAAAAGACAAACACTTCTTCAAGTTCATGAGATTCTGCACTGAAGTACATTTGACTCAGACAGTAAATTATTCTTCCTTGGTCTGTTTTTGCCTTTGAACATAAGAGTTATCCAACAGCTTTAGTAGTTTTTTTTCCTATTTTTAGATTTAATCTCTGTCATTATTACTCAGCAAATTAACAAAAACCACTAAATCCATGGACTTTAAATTTTTTCTTTTATATATATATTTTTTTTTTTTTGTCACACTAAGATTTTAAATCTTATATAATTCCTACACTGGTTTATTTTATGTTTTTTCTACATAACATGCTAAGTTTTAGTGTATTTAAATTCTTTATACTTGATAGTGTTTGAGTCCGTTTGTAGTTTATTTCTGCCATACTATTGTTCCACTTCTGTCTCAAAATAAAAAGTCTTGGTGTCTCTGACTGACCTGATGATAATCATGAACTCTTGTGTTTCCAGAATGATGTTGCAGCACTCTGGTCCCTCGCTGGCTGACATCAGCTGCTCCGCCCTGGTGCCCTGCCTCTCCCCGCCGGGCTCGCTCACCCTGGACGACTTCACCAACTTCACACCGCTCGTGAAAGAGGAGCTGCGACTGGCCATCCAGACCAAGCGGCTGTCCAACGGGCTCAGCGCCGACATCAGCTCGGATGGCGCCAGCTCCAGCTCGGACCGAGCCTCAGAGCAGCCCGCCTATGGGTCAGGCGTCAAGAGAGAGGTGAGTCAGAGGGAAACTACAACATGTAGTCATCTGTTTTGTTTTTTGACCATGATCATGTAGTGTGTTTTCCAAATGAGTGTGTGGGTTTTTTAGGGGTAACATATTGACAGCATATATTCCTGTCTGGGTTTCAGCTGACACATGAAGAGCACGAGAGGAGGAAAAGGAGGAGAGAGAGGAACAAAATTGCTGCTGCCAAGTGTCGCACCAAGAAGAAGGAGAAGACAGAATCTCTACAGAAGGTTCGTTTCAACTTCATCAGTCTGAGAAACAATAACTGAGCTTGTAGGTCGTTGTTATAGCTCCTAGTTTCACACTACAGAATAGGTCATCTAAAAGGTTGACAATGTGAAAATAAAAACATTTTTGAGTCATTAAATTTGAATGTTCTTAATGTCAGGACTTGTCTTTTTAAATGTAAAGTAAGCAAACTGAATTTCTTGTATGCCAGAGAAGTTTATCCACTGTGTGTTAATATTACAGTTTTCCTCAATGAGCCCCTGGTTGCTCTTGTATTTGTCTCATACTTAGTTTTTTGGTACTTTTTTTTTTTTACTTCTGAGATGCAGCTTGCCAGACCAAGCTTTAACATCCAAATGAGCAATAAAGTACAATATTAACTGATTTCGCTCCCTGTGTCTCTTCTCTGCAGGAGTCAGAAAAACTGGAGAGTGTCAACAGTGAGCTGAAGGCTCAGATCGAGGAGCTGAAGCAGCAAAAGCAGCAGCTGGTCTACATGCTCAACCTGCACCGACCCACCTGCATTGTCCGAGCCCAGAACGGCCAAACGCCAGAGGACGAGAGGAATCTCTTCATCCAGCACATCAAGGAGAGCACCTTACAACTCCACAACCTCACCTCCACCTCCTCGACCATATCCACGTCCACAGTAGCACCTCTAGACGGAGGACTTCTGACCCTCGACCATGTTCAGTGTCCCAGTCACCTATGAGCAACCTGGTGTTTTTGCCACGTTTTAAGACTTGTGATGCTTCCACCTGCACAGAGGCAGGTGGAGCTGCCACATGGACTCATGACCTGAGAGAGACAGTGAAATATAACAACCGCCACCTTCAGATGACTCTTCAGTCTCAGTCACCATCTGCAAAGCTGCTAGAGAGAGAGGGAGAGAGAGCGAGAGAGAGAGAGAGAGAGAGGCACAAAGTGACCTCAGCACCTCCACTACCTGAAGCTGCTGACTGGACAGGAAGTGACAGTGGCCAGCATTTTCAAATGCACTGTGCATTTCTTACATTACAGTCAGAGCCAAGGACAGATGCTGCAACACAACAAAAACATCCGTTGCTTTTTTATTTACAGGTATTTTGAACAGATGAGTCTGATTTTTGTACCAAAGTGTAATTTCAAGGTGATCAAGGCACATCATTTAACCGTTCACCCACAAAGAAGTGTAGACACAGAATGAGTGTTTGAGGTGCAAGTCAGTGACTTTAAAAAAAAGACTGTTTTGTGCTTAGTGTATGAAAAATAGTATATTTATTAGGTACCTACTGTGTGACATGCCACTGCCGTATCGACCCTGTCTGCTTGTCCTCTATACAACATGAACTACTAAATCTGCTGCTACTACTAACCACTCAGGACCTATGCTGGCTATAGAAGTCACTGTCTGTTTATTTTTATTGCCTCATTTAAAACGTGTGAGTACAAGTCGGGTTGTTTAGTAGCAGTTACTAAGGGAAATGTAATGTGCAGGCAGGGTTTAGAATTCCACACTTAAAAAAATTATTGTATAATCATATGTAGGTGACGCTTGCTTTTCACAATAAGTTGAAATCTACTGGTAGCAAAACTGAACACTGTATATAGGCTCACACAGCATTCCCTCTACTGTTGCTTTTGACATCGTCTGTGATGATGAAGCTACGAGTGTTTTCTACCTAAAGTCTTGTATATTGTATTGACCGACATGAACTCTGTGCTCATGTGTAAAAACACCAGATGCCTCCTTTTGGTCTTGATAGAGCAAAACAAAGCATTTAAAAAAAATGTATTAACACTTTGGAAGTTATGTTCACTGGATATCATTAGCTAGGTATCAGAAGTGTTGCATCAGCTTTCAGCTCGTCCTCTAATGCGCCTGACTCGGAAGCTACTCGAGATGATATATTATACTGTGTGTTTTCAACTTTCAGGATCCAGGTTTCAGCTCACTGCCAAATATTTCTCCTGCCCTCCACTCCCCCCGTTAGCGTCTGAATTAAGGGAGATGTAGCTTATCTTGCCAACACACGATGGAGGTGTATCTCTATTTTCTCCTAAAGCCTTTGAATCCATCTCACAAAGTGTCTGAGTGAAACCCTGTTCTTCCTCAGTCGGTGCGGTTCACCCTAAAGCTAACATGTAAGAGGGGAAACTATTAGTCAGAGCACTTCACCATCTTTGCATATTGGCCTCTAAGGAGCACTTCACACCGCACATAAGAGAATTGATGTAAATGGTTTTTGAACAGCACACATTCACAGTGAAGGCCGAGGTTTCAGAGAAGGATTATTTTGTTTATCATGTGTCTTATGTATGCAAACAACTGAGTCTCAGTTAAAAGGACGCAGGCGTCTGTGTGTGTGTGTGTGTTTGTACGTATGTTTTGTGGCTGACGGCTCACTGTTAGACGTGGCTAGATATTTACTGAGTATGACTTGTATTCTATTGCGCCTGCTTCTACTGGAGGCTCTTTTCTGTTGCTGCTCGACTGTTAGATCGTCATAGTGTACACTGTCAGGTACAACTGCATTGTTACTACCATTGTGTACTTTCAAGTTTCTGACCTGTCAGTTTTTGTTTTTGATACTTTGTTAATTAAAAATATGTTGCAAGTAATACAACATTGTGATTTTGGAAATGATCTCATTGCATTTTGTTTTTAAGAGCCCTATATAATCTGCTGGTGCAGAATCTCAAACTAGAAGGAAGGAAAGAATCTCATTCAGTGGAAAAGCTGCATAAAAAAGGCAAAAACTACTAATGTTGTAAAAAATGACTTTATTGGAGAGTGCAACACCTGGGAGAATTCACATCAAATTCCCAAACCTTATTTCCACAGATTCTATATGCACTGTTTATTCAGTGCAGTACGTGTGCACAGTCTGCAGTAAAGCCAGTGTTTGTGAAGCTGGTAAACAGTAATGTTTGGTCTCTGACAATGCCTGGAAGTTTAATTAAACTCATTTTCTTACATATTCTACAGCTAGAAAGCAGTAAAAAAAAAAGATTGATGCTGATATTCTGCTTTACTTGGAAGAGTACATATTTTCTCAGCTATGTCAGCACCAACTCTGCTCCTTCTTAGAAAAAGACATGGAAAATATCAAAGGAAACTCAGCAACGTTTCATCAAAATAAACACTGTACTAGCATACATGACCAAATAAGCAGAGAGAAACTTTTAATTTTGTGGCTTAGGGTTAAGGTTACCCCCACACCCCACCCCAAAAGTAATTATTAGTTAAGAAGGAAATTTCAGAACATAAACACAAGTTCACCTACAAACTTTCTACAAGTGAGGTTGGAGCAGCTGTGTTTGTCCTGAAGAAAAGAACAAGAATGGACATGTCTGTTGTTCACAGAGAGAGAAATGAGAGAGGGAGGTGTGTGTGTGTGTGTGTGTGTGTGTGTGTGTGGGTGGTGGGGGGGTCTCCTGCACCAGCTGATTGGCTCTGACTCATCAGTGCTGTGAAGATAAGCCATGAAATACTCTTCAAATAACAACAAACTGATATCACTGCTGGATGTACAGACATGTCCACCACACACTCTAGGGGAACACACATATTCAGGGATGTTAACTTTTACAAATAAGCTTGTTTCCTGACTTATAAATCACATTTCTGTCTTTCAAGAGTTATGGCAGGTTATGTCAAATTGGCCACACATGAAAAGATGTGAAAGTTGAATGGGATATAAGATAAACAAGGACTCATCCAAACTTATCATCAAGCAGAATTTGGGAAGAAATGGGATGAAATGTGCTGTAGAAGTGATGTAAACTATTGTCTGTTCACACCTTCTGGTTTAACCAAACAGACTCTGCTGACATGTCAAGTTTTGACAGTGTCCCAGAGAAATGCGACTGAACAACAGCAGGTGAAGAGTGAGTACAACTGCAGTAAAAGTGTTTATGAGCCCTAAGCAAGTTAAAAACACAGCATAAGTCAAAAACGACCACAGTTTATTGCAGCTCTTACTTGCATGCTACAGACGGGAGGGGCGCACCATGGGAGGATAATGCTCGGGGTTCTGACAATTACCGTAAAGTTGTTCAAAGTCAGTACAACAGACTTCTACTTGTCCAATTACACAACCAACTAAATGAAGCAGTAAAGCATAACCTCGGGCTTATCACCAAGGCACATCAAACAAACACGATCCAGGTCTGCCGGTTTCTGGCTGAGAACTGACATCTCATGTGGTTTCACTCCACCTGTCTGGTACTTAAAGGTGATGGAAACAAACAGTGAAATACGTCATCACTGTTTGATACTGTGTACCTCAAGTTTCTGTAGCAACTGTGATGTGTGAGTCCCGTCGGACCATGGGGAGCAGGACACCACGTCCTTTAGTTAGATTTTGTGTCCTAAAAGAAGAAAAAAGTACAATGAGTTCAGCTGAAGTAAGATCAAACATTTTAACGTGACTGTGCCGTGGGTGAGATCCACATCAGCCAAGCAGCAGCGATGTGAGAAAGTGGGTGGTGTTCTGTTTTCTGGAGGGCAATGTTTCAACCTGCTTTCATGTTGTTTGATACACAACTGGTATGTTAATTACAACTTATGACATACCCTGAAATCACCTCCCTCCTCTGCTTGTCTCGGGTTTCTTCCTCTACCTTCATAAAGGTCACATTTTTACTGTATAACACTGCATTCTGTTACTTATTTACACCTTTATCAGCAGCAGAATAGATTATTGTAATGGCCTTTTGTCTTAATCAAAAACCGTTAAACAACTGCAGCTTTAACGGTCTGAAGTCTTTACACTGGCTGCCAGTTTCTTTTAGAAATTATTTTAAAGTGCTGATATTAAGGCTCAGTGGTCTGGGACTGCAGTATCTTACTCATCTTTCTAAAGAATATAAACCTAAAAGTTTTTTAAGATCTTTACATACCAATCAGTCGGTAGTTCCCCGAGTCAGAATTAAACAGGGTGACACTGCCTTCAGTCGTTACACAGCAAGAGGATGGAAGCAGCTCCCAGAAGAACTAAGATCTGTGGACACTTTAACAGTTATGGAATCTAAACCAAAAACGCTGCTGTTTACACATGCCTTTGAATGATTGTTTCGTTGACTTTGCTGCTTAATGTTTTTTCAGTATGTTCTGTATTAAAGCACCTTGAGTTGCTGTTAGGGTTAACTAAATATGTGAATGTGGCACAGGTGCAAATTAATGATGTGACACTGGTGATAGTAACAAGTGCAACTAAAAACATCAAGAACACGGGTGGAACTGACACAAGCACAGGCCTCACTAATACATTAATGACAGCTCACTTTGATTCCTCCATTAAAAAAAGCTTCACTGTGACTAGTTACAGTACGTCTACGTGCATTTCCTGCTCTTAGCTTATTTTTTCTTGCACTTAACTTATTTCATAGAGAATAACATGAAGGTTTAGATAACGCTTCATCTGGTTCTGACATGCTTTGAGAGTTGAGCAAAGGTTCAGCTGTCGTTCCCGCCGGCATTAATTAGACTGTTCAGTGGGAATGCCAGGAGCAGAAACACTGGTGAACAGGATCTGACATGAAGGTGTTTGTAATGTTAGTGAGAAGTTGTGTTTACTTTTATTATGAACAACTGTTCTGGAGAGAACGTCTCAGTTTGCACTACTACAGCCCTACAGAATAAATGTGAAGGCAACAGGAAGAGAAAGAAACCAGGTCATGTGTTTTTCTAATTCTGGATTTAAAATTGCTCAATTAACTGACCTCATTTTATGCAAATGAAGTTCTGCCACAAACCTGCTGCTTGCTCAGTTTAAGAACGCATTTTCTGTGTGGAAAAGTACAGTTGGTTCACCCATGAAGCGGAAGAGAAAGTGAGAAGTTCAGGTTTCAACACAGAGTTGATTCTCTTTTCAACTCGGGGTCACAGTTGAAGCCACTGAGGCCGAGTTGCTCTCTCACCATGAACGCATCACTGGTTTCACTCCTAACTTAGACAACACAGATTAAAAACCAGGGTGTTTCCAGCTGGTTTTGTCTCAGTTTCACTGGGACAGGTGCTTGTTCCACTAGGATATCGGCCAATACGGGGCCAAAGTCCACACACAGAGGAGGAAGATGCTTTGTCATTCTCTCAGCTGAGGGAAGAACTGACGCAACTCAGTCACAAGCGAAGGCAAGGTGACTGATGCAGTGTCGGTGTCATAATCTTTGACCAGCATCATCCGGTGTGTTATGGTCAGAGGTCGCAACTGAACACACAAGCATGTGGATTTAGAAGCATCAGCAGTTCCTCTGGTTGATCATTTAAATCGACAAGTGAAATAAAATAATACATGACATTAACAGAATACAAGTAACGTGAGCCTGTTTAAGGATGTGGCACTGAACTAACATAAAATAAATTAGAAGTTCAGGTACATTAAATAAACATGTGAGTTTAGCAGCTGTTTTGTGGAGGTAATGATATTAATGCAGCTCTTCAAATCAAAGTTATAACAGTGCTTAACAAAACAAGGAAGGAGGAAGGAGCAGGCTGTAAAATCAAGGGGAACCTAGAGAGAGGAGTAGAGTATAAAAAGGAGGAAACTTCTTATCAAACACAGGATATAAACAGCTGGATAAAAGCTATTGTGAGCATGGAATGACAAGGAAATACGAAAGACGGCCAATAAAAACCCCAACAGGACAAGGACGTCACAGGTTTGTATTAACAGTTGTTTCAAGCAGGATTTTCAGAGTCTTTCTGGGAGTCACAAAAACCATCATACTTAGTTTTCACAGACAGACAGCAGGTGTTGTCATGTGGCTAAGCTTTGTGCAGTATATTAATGAGCCAAATAATAAAACGGATATAGTCAAAAATCAAATCCCCATCCACAGTATGATGCAATGGGGCTTGTTTGCTTTGCTGGTGAAACTGTAATGAACTCTGGTGCTATTTGGCAACTCTCCTGCTCCTGGTTCACAAACTGCTGGTGAGCTTTTATTGTGAAAGAGCAACAGAGAACAGCATAAATCACAGGGATTAGCAACACTTCTGACTCTCTGGACTTTGTTGACCCATTTGGCAGGAGACCTGCCTGGTAAAAGCCCCAGCGAATCTGTCCTGTACCGTAGGCCTGAGCAGCAGCGTCTTTATCCGTGTTCAAAAGAAAACATATTTCAGTGTAGTGGGCGGTTTGTAGAAAACAAACGGATCATGACATGTTTCAAGACAACATGTGACATTTAGTGTTATTTTACTGAGAAACTTCATTGTGGAGTGGAACAAATATCTTATCTTAAGAAGGAAGGGACAAAGTCAGAGACACAAAGTTCTAAGTAAAATGTGGGCGGACTACACTAATAACCTTTTCATGGAAATCAGTTGTAACACTGTGCAAGGAAGGCGAGGATTTCACGAGTAATGGTATCTGTGGGTGGGGATGGAATGAAGGCCCCAGGATGCTCCAAGAAAATGTATAGCAAAACCAGGAGGGAGAAATGTGGCAAGTCCAAGACTTTCTGATATGAAATGAGCCAAAAACATTTCTCACAGGGCTTCAGTAACACGTGATGGAATTCATGCTCTTAATAAATTAGCCCATGAAATATGGGAAGTTTCAATATATGAGATGAAGATGTTGTAATTGCGTTCCTGTCTGCTCCCCCACACCCAGATGTCCAAACCTGTTTGAAGAGTGACTGTCTCGTTATTGTGAACTCATCTAAATTTCCTCTTTTACAATGTGGACTCTTGGTTCAAAGCATGGAAATGCCACCTTTCACACTTTATCAGTTGTGTTTACATTGTGCAAAACTGGAAGTTCTCAAGGAGCTTAACCCACCAAGGAGCTTTCCTCAGCCTATTTCTGTGTGTGCACTGTCCACCCAGTCATATTTGTGCCTGTGTGAGAGCTGCTCTCATCACTAAGCCTAGTTCTACGTACCTTTAAAAGCAGCTGATTTGAAGATCTCAAGGATCATCCTGTTGTGAGGGTGAAGGAACGCAGACATATAATGGAACTAACTCAGGAACAGCTTCATAGTACACAGATCAAACACAGGAGAACACAACTAAAGAAGAAGACGGGAGGTGATGCGGCAGGTTGGCTGTCACTGTTGTGCAGCATGTGTGGTTTCCCACTTACCTCGTCTCCTCTTGTTTAAATACACAACAGATATCTAATTATGGGTGTGTATGGAAGAAGGTGGAATAAGTGGCTTGCAATGAACCACAATTACATCACTGCAAGGTTTGTAGAGCCATATGAAAACCACACAGCAGCTGATGCAGAAAGCGTTTATGCCACTGTATCTGTTGCCATGACTGCAATGGCAGACTAGAATGGGTCACTAACGCAGTGACACAGGCACAGACCCAGTCTTGTTGGACTGCAAGACCAAGCTGTGACTTACAGTCATTTCACACATGCAAATCTGAAC